CTGTGAGGAGACTGAAAAAGTCTGAAAGTAGGGCAGCTTGGTGAGGCACAAAAGGATTGATAAGGCCAGCTTCTTTCTGGAAGTCACTGGAAAAATTCCCAGAGAGCAGAATCACCTGGAAACCCCTTAATGAAATCAACATCAGATCAACATCAGAAATGGGGAGGTCTTGCCCAGTGGAAAAAAAAAAAACAAACCAAAACAAAACCCCTTCATGAACCAAACATTCTCATGTAACCCCACGTGCTGTGTCACAAGAGTCTTTTCAGCATCACAGCAGATGCCAAGTTACAGGCAGCCTTATTGGCAACATGCAACAAAACTTGCAGAATGGTTGTAGATGCAAAGCTGAACTTTGTAGTAACAGTTCAAAGTCACAGCAGAAGTCTGAAGGTAGGAATCCCAAGAAAGACAACAGTTGTTTGAATACCTTTAGGCAGATAAGTGAAGTAGTCTGAGATACAAAATATCAAAAAGAAAATTTGCAGTGCTTCATTCACTGCACTGCACAACCCTTCTCTGGAGTGAGGGACAAACAAAGCTTGGTCTGGCTAAATGTCAGACCCAGAGGTCAGTACAGCTAAATTTATTGGTACCATCAGCTTTGAGGTTAAGATGTGAAGAAGAATGAAGACTATTGGCTCAGATATCTCCTCCAACATACATTTAACAAAATTGTTTATTCGTTCTAGGAAGGATTTATAAACCTGAGTTAACACAACTGCAGAAGTTCAGTTGGTTTCTGACCAGGTATGAGTTACCAAAACCCCAAATATAAGCAGCTGAGTTCCCAGAAGAGTTCCCAGAACCATCCAGGAGATTAAGCAGCAGAGGAGTAACTTGCATCACAATAGGAGATGACGTCATGGAAGTACACAAATGCGAGCTTCCATGCACTTTATGATATTCCAGAGGGTAATGAGAATTCCTAATAAAGACAGCCAACAGAAAGCTAATGCCCACTCTGTGTTGAAATATCTCAGTTTCTGATGGACCAATCCTCAATTTTCTCTCTTCAACCTCTTCAAAGAGAAGAGAGCACTTAAAAGTAGAAAAAGCAGAGCAAGACTGGAGTTAAAGGCAGTATCAGAACCTGGCTAGGCAGGGAACAGGATGGTCTTCTCATGAGCCTTATGCCGCTGTTTTGGAAAGGCTCACCATTTCTTGCCCATCAGCCCACAGCAGTCTAGGTTGTCGAGCCTCATGTGCTACTCATAGGTCACACTCAGAAGACACAGGGGACAGAGTGAGTAAGAAAGGCTTTGGAAAATCTAAAGAAACTATGAAGTTGCTTTGCCTCAACAGAAGATTGATGAGGTTGTAGGGGCTGCTGGGGAGACATTCCACAGAGAAGTCTGACCATCAAAGTGCAGACTGGTCTGACATATACATTAATAGTAATCGCTATCAGCGTGTTACTAAGTTAACACAAGATGAATTTACCTGAAAGGCACCCGGCCTTGTGCTTGTGTTCTGTGATCTAGGAGAGTCCTGTGTGGAAATGTCAGGTTTAAATTCTTTCAACTTCTGTAGCTGTTCCTTTTGCTCTCTGCACATGAATCACAAGAAAGTGTCATAGTCTGTAGCTTAAATGAAAAATTAAAGAAATCAACGTTTACAGTGAAACCCACATATTACACTAGCATTAGGGGCCAAGTCCAAAGAAAAACAGGACACAACAGGCTTTACATGTTTCATAAATCCCTCTTTCCCATTCACCTAACCACGGAAGTATTTAGTATATTAGCTGCCTCCTTTTTTGATCACAGATTTCCTCTGCAACATGCAATTATGTTTTTGTGCTTGGCCAGAACCACTCCACTTTGACAGTAAAGAGCAAAGCTAGATTTTAGCTTCGGACAAGACCTTCTGCAAACCAGAAGCTCAGTGGAGATGCGTGCCTAAGTGCTCTCAGTCACTTGCTTCGGGTTGTATACTAACAGGATTGAGGCCAACACAAAGCACAACAGAGACTCCAACATTTAAAAACAAAGCAGCAGTGTTAACTTTCGTTTCCTTGTTTTAGGTATCAAAATGCTACCCTAGTCCATAGAGCAGCGACCAGGACCAGTAGTGAGTACTACAACCACCAGATTACTAAGATCTACCTATTCGATACGATTCCCTTTCGGTTTTTGTTTGCACCTTTTTATCTAGTTTTTTTATCGCTAATACTCTTTGTTCATATTAATTGTGTGTATTAAGGTAGTGGCCAGAGAACAACTAAGAGTGGGATCCCTCTGTACTAGGCACAACAGAGGCCCATCCTGACTAGCAACCCATCTGTTCAGTGTCCAGCGCAAGGGGAACCTGGCTCACAGAAAGAGATCCAAAATGCTGCATTAGTACAAAGAGTAAACTGAGCAATTGCTAGCACTTAAAAGGTCTTCTTTACACCTGACTTAGGAAAAAAACACCAGATGACAATTACAGAACAGCATGCAGCTCAGAGCATGCTGTTTTATACACAATAAAAGCAAAGCCAGATGAAGACTTTACCTTTGGAGATGCACCCCACTACTGGTATAACTCCTGGCTCAAAAAATATATCATAATCAGTCTCCTTAAAGTTGTGCCTACTGTTCAGACTGGGGTCACCTGCTTATAAGAACCTGATGAGAAGTACAAGTGTAACTAATTTTTAAGATTATCCTCATATTAAATTAAAATTCAGTATAAGTAATGTCATGTTTATATTTCCTCTTTTTACTGGCTTAGAAAGAGGTGTAAGTATCTACTTTCTTACATAAAATGTTTTAGTTTCCGTGTTTAAATATTTCAGTCCTAGTAAACTATTCACTTTGGCAGTGATTCCCACTATGGTCCTTAGACTAAGTCCACTGGCTTGCAGCTATTCACATTAAACAAAACATACGCCTGGCAAACCTGAGGCAACGGGAACGTCAGGAAGCTGAAAATGACCAGTTGCTCTGAACTTTTGGCAAATACTGCTTTATAACACAGGTTTTACAATTACTAACACCTGTTGAATTAATCTAACTGCAGTGAAAGATCAAATTATTCAGAATGAAAGTTATCCCTTCCTTTTTTAAAATTATTTTTCTTGCATTTTGGTATGCAACTAAGGCCCTCCATATGGGACAGATGCTGAGCAACCTTATGAGTCTGAAAACAAAATGGCTTCAACAAAAGTGCAAAACGTCTCCGTATATTGCAACATGGCTTAATGTAAAAGAAATAACGATAACCAAACATTCATTTTAATCACCCATTATTTCAGCATCTCTTGTTTATGAAATTAAACCACTACCTTTACTAGGCACCAATCCTTAGCTATCTCTTAGTAATTCATGAATAGGATGAACCACATGAATCTCTGTCTCTAAGATGCTTCCTCTTTTCTCTACAATTGCCTCTGAAAGATCTCATGCACCAAAAACAGTCAAAGAAAATAATCTTTCTGTTGCATTTGTTTTTCCAAATACATTTAATGCACCTAAACCCATGCACCAAATCACAAAGATAGCATTTGGGTAGATGGTATGTGCTCCATTCATTCTAATATTACTAAATTTACTGAGCCCTAGGATGTTTCTGATGTTTAAGAGGATTACTTATTTTGAAATAAACACCTATTAAAGCCTTAGGAAGTCTAGTAGCTGCTTTCTAAAATGTGGTCTTGGTGAGCTCTTGCATTCATATCCTCCTGATTGTTATCATTGCTGTTATGCTGATCCTCAGAACTAAGATCAACCAAACTTGACAAAATTATACACTGACAATGCTGGATCTCAAATGAGGGTGCATTGTAAAAAGAAAAAAGGAAAAACCCATGGATGCTTTAATTAAAAAGTAAGCAATATCCAAAAGTTAAATAGGCCTCACTGTGTGAATTAAGAACGACATTAACATAGATCTTGACAGGTAAGTATTATAAAGCAATTACCAACGAGCTCATCTGACACTAACAAAAAGATTGAAAAGCAATTATCAACAAGCTCATTTGAGGATAACAAAAAGATTGGTCAGGTGATGTGGCCAGATCTTTTCCTGGAAAGTAACAAACAGGGAATGCCATATTCACGGGGAAAGGGACAACCACTCATTTAAGAAAAGATGACCATCCACAAAAGCTGTGATGGAGGTACTCCAAATAACTTGTTCCACATGAGCTCCTACTATCATGCTGTGGCAAAAAGAAATTAAGCCATTAGTGTGTAAACCAAGGAACGAATTAGGAAAGAAGCACCATCTCCACAGAATGAGATTCCCACCCAAAGTGACAGAACGAGGCAACTCACCGAAGCATTTTGAGCTCCTGGGCAGCCTTCAGAATTATCTCATGCTGTCTTTGGCTAAGGACCATCACTCCTCCCAACGACTGGTCAGAGTCCAGGTTTGAATCTCCTCCCAGCATATCAGAGGAATGTGAAGGTGGAGGAAGGGATGAATCTGAATGATCATCCAAAGAGCGCAATCTGTCTCCATCATCTGGATACCACCTATCCGACAACCGTTCCCTCTCCCAATCAGTCCTTTCAGGAAGGTAGTCTTGCTTGTCCCGCCATGTGTCATATCTCTCTGGATACTCTCGAATCCTTAGCTCCCCCCTGTCTCGGAGGTCTCTGTCATAATGATCTCTATTCCTATCGTCCCTCCACCTATCTTCACGGTATCTGTCCAGAGGTGGAAGAGGTGGTAATGGTGGTAGAGGAGGGATATCCAGATCATGATTCCCCACTTCTCTGTCATCCATAGGTCTCATGTCCCAGTCTCTATCCCACTCTCTGTCTAAATCTTGATCATAAATGTCTGAGGATCTTCCAGTCCTATCTAGATCTCTCTCTAGTTCCCTCTCTCTGGGCCTTTTCCAGTCATCCCACCATGAATCTCGTCTGTCATGATCAGATGATAAAGGAGGTAGCGGTGGTAGGGGAGATAACGGAGGCAATGAATGGTGGGATTGCAACCTGTCATCTCTGTCATATGCATCTACAGAATCATCTTGATAATCAGAGTTGTGATCTCTCCAGTATCGTTCTCTTTCCCAGTCATCCAATCTCTCATGCTCCAAAGAAGGGTCATCTTGACTATCTAAAGGAAATTCCTCCTGCATTCTGTCATCTTCATGACCCCAAGAACCCCTCAGTGCCTCATCTCGATGGTATGGAGGCAATTTGTCAGGGTCATCTCCTAGGTGAATGGGTTTATCTATATTGCCTGTTTCAGATCTTCCTCCTTCCCTCTCCCGGCTACCTGCCCTCCTGATGGGACCCCTCTCTCGGCTACCAGCTCGCCTGACCAGGCCCCTCTCCCGGCTACCGGCCCGCCTGACTGGGCCCCTCTCCCGACTACCTGCCCGCCTGACTGGGCCCCTCTCCCGACTACCTGCCCGCCGCATGGGTTCCCTCTCCCGGCTACCTGCCCGCCGCATGGGCTCCCTCTCCCGGCTACCTGCCCGCCTGACGGGGCCTCTCTCCCGGCTACCTGCCCGTCCCCTGTCCCAGCTGCCTGGCCGCCCAGCTAGCTCTCTGTCTCGGCTAGAGAACACCCTCTCATGGCTATCCGACCGTCCACCCAGTCCCCTCTCTCGGCTGCCAGACCGTCCATCTGGCATCCTCTCCCTGCTGCCTGACCGCCTATCTGGCATCCTCTCCCTACTGCCTGCTCTCCTGAACATGCCCCTGCCGCGGATGGATGCCTGCCTAGCCTGCCCTCTGCCTCTGTATACATATCCTCTGCCACGGCCTTCGTCCATCCTGCCCATTCCCCGGCCATGGCCATCATCCATCCTGCCCATTCCCCAACCACCGTCCATCCTTCCCATTCCCCGGCCACCGTCCATCCTTCCCATCCCTCGGCCACCGTCCATCCTTCCCATGCCCCGTCCACGGCCCATTCCCCAGCCACGGCCATCCCCGTGCCCTCTGCCACGGCCATCATCCAGTCTGCCCTGGCCCCTTCCTCTGCTTACTGGTCCCTTGCCTCTATCTTCATGCATAAACTGCCCTTTCCCTCTGCTTTCTGGTCCAGTTAGGCCCTGGGTGCTATCTGAAGCAATCAACTGGCCGTCTGGAGAATCCAAATCCTCATTTCCTGTGACAGGGGTTACTGCACCACCTGTTCTTGCAATATCTGATTGCAAAGCTACAGGGTTACTAGAAAGGGATGTTGATTGCTGGTTCTGAATAGGTGGAGTAGGTGCTTTGGACTCTTCTACTTGCTGGTTAGGATCATGTGAACTCCACGTCCACTTTTTAGGAGGGTCTGAAGTAGTTTCTTTCACTTCAGGTTTGGAAGGTTCCTGTTGAGTGTTTGTCACGTCCTCGTTTGGCTCAATGGTACCTGCACTCTGTGCATCAGGAGTAGACTGTGTCCTGCTTACAGTCTGCTGATTGCCAGCTACGTCTGTAAAAGGTTCTTTGTTTTCTGACTGTGAGTCTGTCTGTGACTGCTGCTGCTGCTGTCCCAAATGAGGCCTGGGCCCCCTCCACCGTGGACCACTAGGTCGGGAACCATGTCCATGTGATGCATTTGTTGAAGTATAAAATTGTGCTGCTGGTCCTCGTGGGATAGTCCCCCATCTACTTGAAGACTGTCCATCTGTATTCTGTCGGTCAAAACGTGACCTGTATCCTTCTGAGCGCTGGGAGTCAAAACGAGGCCCTCTCTGTCTTGAGCCTTCAAATTTGTCATATCCTCTTCCTCGAGGTCCATCAAATCTATAGATGACATAATGGCAATTTTATTCAAATGAACATGTCTAATTAAAATCCTCTAAAAGAGAGTTGCATCCCCCCCCAAAGTCACTTCTAACTGATGAATCCTAGTGTACCTCAGAATCAATCCCTACTGAACCAGTGCAGAAGCAGAGAGATGTGTTCTTCAATTGAATACTGTCCGCTGAAGACCAGTTTAAGCCATTTGCAGATAATGCAACCCTAAAAGGAAAATTGGCTTAAATATCTCAGGACTGAAACCTGACTGACAAAGAAAGGTGCCAAACTCGTTTGAAAAAAAAAGCTTTCAACTTTTGTTTAATGGAAGTTTCAGTGCAATCAACAACTCCTGTTGACCTCTTCTTTGGGTAGTATGCAACAAGCCTACTTAACTATGATGATGAATGCCATCTAGAAAAATCTTTAAACACAGATCCTTTCAGAAAGTGTAAACTGTGATATCGCCTAATTTCATGCAATATAATATGCCTAAAATAAACACATTTTTATTGCATCACTTCTTAACTCCTTTTGAGAGCCCCTACAAGCTATTGCTTGTATATGAGTAAATAGGTGAGACAAACTAATGAAGAATAATTCATGTAATAATTTTTAACAAGGCTGATCTAGTAAAAAAATCCAATCTTCAAGCATATGCTCAAATACTGATTTACATAATAGACTAGAATAAATCAAATTAATTTTACTCAAAATACAGAACTCATGTCTGAAGTCAAGTCGCTTGGAGGTTTGGGATTCACAGTTGTGTCTCACTGGATGGAGTCAGAAAGGCCAAAGCACTTCTATAGCTTTGTCAGCCAGAAAAGGAAGATCAAAGAAAGTGCATCCTCCTCCAATGAACACAACTGGCAAACTGGTAACAAGGGACAAAGAGAAAGCTGAGGCACTCTTTTTTTTGCCTCAGTCTTCACTGGCAACCTCTCTTCCCACACCTCTTTAGTGGGTGGATCACAAGACAGGGACTGGGGGAGCAAATCCCTCCCACTGTAAGAGAAGATCAGGTTCACGACCACCTGAGGAACCTGAACATATAGAAGTCTATAGCAGCTGACGAGATGCCTCCCAGAGTCCTGAGGGAATTGGCTGATGTAGTTGCCAAGCCACTCTCCATGGTATTTGAAGAGTCATGGCAGTCAGGTGAAGTCCCCAGTGACTGGGAAAAGGGAAATATTGCACCCATTTTTCACAAGGGTAGAAAGGACGACTTTGGGAACTACCAACCTGTCAGCCTCACCACTGTGTCTGGGAAGATCATGGAACAGATCCTCATTGAAGCTATGCTAAGGCACATGAAGGACAAGGAGGTAATTCAAGACAGCCAGCAATGGCTTCACCAAGGGCAAGTCCTGCCTGACCAACCTAATAGCCTTCTATGATGGAGTGACTACATCAGTGGACAAGGGAAGAGCTACGGATATTGTTTATCTGGACTTCTGTAAGTCCTTTGACATGGTCCCTTACAACATCCTTCTAAATTGTAGAGATAGATTTGATGAGTGGACTGTTTGGTGGATGAAGAATTGCTTGGATAGTCACTCACAGAGGGTAGTGGTCAACGGCTCAATGTCCATATGGAGATCAGTGACAAGTGGTGTCCCGCAGGGGTCTATATCGGGACCAGTACTGTTTAATATCTTCATCAATGACATAAGCAGTGGGATCGAGGGCACCCTCAGCAAGTTTGCAGATGACACCAAACTGAGTGGTGCAGTTGACATACTGGGGGACAGGATGCCATCCAGAAACCTTGATGGGTTTCAGAAGTGGGCCCATGTCAACCTCGTGATGTCCAACAAGGCCAAATGCAAGGTCCTGCACCTGCGTCAGGGCAACCCCTGGTATCAATACAGGCTGGGGGATGAAGGGATTGATAGCAGCCATGCCAAGAAGGGCTTGGGGGTACTGGTGGAAGAAAAGCTGGACATGAGCCCACAACGTGCACTTGCAGCTCCGAAAGCCAACTGTATCCTGGGCTGCATCAAAAGAAGTGTGGCCAGCAGGTTGAGGGAGGGGATTCTGCCCCTCCACTCTGCTCTGCTGAGATCCCACCGGGAGGTACTGCATCCAGCTCTGGAGTCCTCAGCACAGGAAAGACATGAACCTGTTGGAGTAGGTCCAGAGGACAGCCATAAAAATGATCAGAGGGCTAGAGCACCTCTCCTATGAGGACAGGCTGAGAGAGCTGGGATTGTTCAGCCTGGACAAGAGAAGGCTCTGGAGAGACCTTATTGCAGTGTTTCAATACTTAAAGGGAGCTTATAAGAAAGATGGGGACAGACTTTTTAGTAGGCCCTGTTGCAATAAGACAAGGGATAATGGTTTTAAACTAAAGGAGGGTAGATTTAGACTACATGTTAGAAAGAAATTTTTTACAGTGAGGGTGGTGAAACACTGGCACAGGTTGCCCAGAGAGGTGATAGATGTGCCATCCCTAGAAACGTTCAAGGTCAGATTGGACGGGGCTCTGAGCAACCAGATCTAGTTGAAAATGTCTCTGCTTATTGCAGGGGGGTTGGACTAGACCTCTGAAGGTCCCTTCCAACCCAAACTATTCTATGATTCTATGGATTTTAACTCATTACTGCCTTGTTACCAACAACGGTTGACTTGTTGCAGAATTTACTGTCAGCAATTTACCAAACAAGATCATTTATACAACCTCAAAGAACTTTAATAATCCTGATAAGTTAACATGGTAAACTGCTGTTTTGGGGCTGGGGGCAAGTCAAGATGAACAGGAAGAGAAAAAAGAAGAAATTGCAAAGTACAGCAGCAAGATAACTCAGATTGGAAGGATCAACTTTTACATGGAAGGTATAGCTAGAAGGTTGGACACTGTACGACACACTTCATCCCCCAAATTCTGAAAATTAGTTTAAGCTCGTTCTTTATAGAGTTTCTTGAGAAAAGTTAATTGCTGAAAAGAGGTGAAGGGTGTGTGTATCTTTTTATATGTCTGGGACTTTTTAGCTGAGATAGCAGCAGGTAACACAACTTTTTTAATTTATCCCACGTTCAGTTAAAAATTTATTAGGACTCTC